CCGGAACTTGGGGGATATTTTCCAGTCCCAGGGACTCTAAACTAACTCCTAATACCCTTGGTTTGCAGAAAAACGGACACAGGTAAAACGATCGCACGCCCGGGTTCGAGCTTCTAGGCCGAAATATAGCCCCACTTCATTTCAAGACTGAAAGAGTAGCCGAGACCGCCTTACGCGCATGGTTATTTTGACCACCTTTGGCTCGATTTTCCGGTACTTGGGGGATATTTTCCAGTCCCGGGGACTCTAAACTAACTCCTGATGGCCTTGGGTTGCGGAGAAATTGACAAAGGTAAAGCGATCGCACGCTTGGTTTCGAGCTTCTAGGTCGAAATATAGCCCCACTTCATTTTAAGACTTAAAGGGTAGCCGAGACCGCCTTACGCGCATCGTGCCTTTGACCACCTTTGGCTCGATTTCCCGGAACTTGGGGGATATTTTCCAGTCCCGGGGACTTTAAAGTAACTGCTGATGGCCTTGGTTTAGAGAGAAATGGACCCAGGTAAAATGATCGTACGCTCGGTTTTGAGCATCTAGGCCAAAATATATCCTTATTCCATTTTCAGACTGACAGAGTGGCCGAGACCGCCTTACGCGCATCGTGATTTTGACGACGTTTGGCTCGATTTCCCGGTACTTGAGGAATATTTTCCAGTCCCGGGGAATCTAAACTAACTCGTGATGGCGTTGGCTTGCAGAGAAATGGACACAGGTAAAGTGATCGCACGCTCGGTTTCGAGCTTCTAGGACGAAATATAGCCCCACTTCATTTTAAGACTGAAAAGGTAGCCGAGACTGCCTTACGCGCATCGTGACTTTGACCACAGTTGGCTGGATTTCCCGGAACTTGGGGGATATTTACCAGTCCCGGGGACTCTAAACTAACTCTTGATGGCCTTGGTTTGCAGAGGAATGGACTCAGGTAAAACGATCGCAGGCTCGCTTTAGCGCTTCTAGGCCGAAGTATAGCCCCACTTAAATTTAAGAGTGAAACGGTAGCCGAGACCGCCTGACACGCTTCGTGATTTTGACCACTTTTGAATCGACTTCACGGAACTTGGGGGATATTTTCTAGTCTCGGGTACCCTAAACTAACTCCTGATGGCCTTGGTTTGCAGAGAAAAGGAGACAGGTAAAACGATCGCTCTCTGGGTTTCGAGCTTCTAGGCTGAAATATAGCCCCACTGCGGTTTAAGAGTGGGAAAAGATAGCCGAGACCGCCCTACGCGCAGGGCGATTTTCACCAGCTTTGCGTCGATGTGCAAGAACTTGGAGGATAGTTTCTAGTCCCGGGGACTCTAAACTAACTCCTGATGGCCTTGGTTTGCAGACAAATGGCCACAGGTAAAGAGATCGCACGCTCGGTTTCGAGCTTCTAGCCCGAAATATAGCCTTCCTTCATTTTGAGAGTGAAAGAGTAGTTGAGACCGCCTTCCGCAAATCGTGTCTTTGACCAACCTCGGCTCAATTTCCCGGTACTTGGGGGATATTTTCTAGTTTCGAGGACTTGAAACTAACTCCTGATGGCCTTGGCTTGCAGTGATATGGACACAGCAAAACTTTTTAAACGCTCACCTTCGAGCTTCTGGGCCGAAATATAGCCCCACTTCACTTTAAGACTCATAGAGTAGCCGAGACCGCTTTGCGCGCATCGTGATTTTGACCAACCTAGGCTCGATTTCCCGGAACTTGCGGAATATTTTCCAGTCCCGGGGACTCTAAACTAACGCCTGATGGCCTTGGTTTGCAGTGAAGTGGACACAGCAAAACTTTTTGAACGCTCACTTTCGAGCTTCTGGGCCGAAATATAGCCCCGCTACACTTTAAGACTCATAGAGTAGCCGAGACCGCCTTGCGCGCATTGTTTTTTTGACCAACTTCGGCTCGATTTCCCGTAACTTTTGGGATATTTTCCAGTCCTGGGGACTCTAAACTAACTGCTGACGGCCTTGGTTTCCAGTTAAATGGACACAACAAAACGATTTGAACGCTCGATTTGGAGCTTCTGGGCCAAAATATAGCCCATTTCACTTTAAGACTCATAAAGTAGCCAAAACCGCCTTGCGCGCGTCGTGATTTTGACCAAATTCGGCTGGATTTCCCGGAACTTGATTGATATTTTCCAGTCCCGGGGACTCTAAACTAACTCCTGATGGCCTTGGTTTGCAGTGAAATGGATACAGCAAAACTTTTTGAACGCTCAGTTTCGAGCTTCTAGGCCGAATTATAGTCCCACTTCACTTTAAGACTCATAGTGTAGCAGAGACCGCCTTGCGCGCATCGTGATTTTCACCAACTTCGGCTCAATTTCCGGGAACTTGGGGTATATTTTCTAGTCTCGGGGACTCTAAACTAACTCGTGAGGGCCTTGGTTTGCAATTAAATGGACACAGCAAAACTTTTTGAACGCTCGGTTTCGAGCTTCTGGGCCGAAATATAGCCCCACTTCAC